CACCCCCCACCACACCCACATGTTGAAGTCCTAACCCCCAGTATCTTAGAAAAGGACTTTATTTAGAAATAAGGCTGTCGCAGGTGTAATTAATTAAGATGAGGTCATTAGGGTGGACCTTAATCCATGTGACTGGTGCCCGTATACAAAGAAGAAATGTGAATAGTCACACACGTAGGGAGAATGCCGTGCGAAGGTGAAGGGAGAGATGAAGGTGACACGTGTTGGAACGCCAGGCATTGCCAGCAAGCCATCAGGAGCCAGCCGAGGGCAGGACCAGATTCTCCCTCCCAGCCCTCAGAAGGAACCCACCCTGCTGACACCTTGACCTTGACCTTCTAGCCTGCGTGACAGGGAGAATGTCTGTTGTTCCAGCCACCCAGTCTGTTGTACGGGGTTCCCACAGCCCTGGCAGACTCCTAGAGAAAGGCGGAGCGGCGCAAACATGGCACGTCAGCCAGCCTAACCGACACTATTTCCAGGATAGGACGAGATAGCCGGTGACTGACCTAAATCTCTCTCCTGTAAAGCCACAGGGAGCATCAGTCAACCAAGCAAGCTCCTCCTCTTAGGTCTCATTCGTGTTCCATTAAAGGTCCACTTTGCCAAGCTGATGGATGGAAATGGTACCGGCTACCACTCGGGCCTAAATGAAGAGCTGACGGCTAACCCAGACGAGGGAGTTTGGAGGAGGGAGAGCAAGCAGGCAGACAGGACGTCTGCAGACAGAGGAGGTGGTGGGTGTTCTTTGTGGTGGGAAAATCCCCTCCCCAAGCACATGGAACATACTGTATTTTCCTGTGTGATAGCCGATATACTCTTCTATCAGAACATCTTAAAATTGGCCTAGAAAGGATTGCAGAGGACTTGTGAGGGCAACATAAAAGTTTTATATCTTGATGGTTGTGGTTGGTTGTTACACAACTGCATAATTTTTCAAAACCCATTGAATTGCACACTTAAAACTGGTGAATTTGGTTGCATGTAAATTATAGCTCAATAAAGCTGATTGCATTAAAAAAAGAAAATTGGTCCATAAAGAAAATTACGGTTAAATGTGTTTGGTTTGGATCGGGGAGAAAATTTAAAAAGAAAGAAAAAATCAACACTTGTGGTTTTTTGCTTGTTTGGTTGGTTTTTAACAAAAACTAGGCTAAAATAGACCATTTGATATGAAACACAGTATGGGAAAGAAATAGAAAAATAAAATATAGATAATTTTATGGTACTTCCTCAAAAAATGGAAGAAAACACATATATTTTAGTATCCCCAGTCAGATAGTTAATCTGATATGTAAAAAATGATAAAAAGAGGAACCAGAAAATCCTCTTCTTTTCCTGAATACAGAATAAAAATTAAAAGGACTAGTGAATAATCCGTGAGTATAAACACTGTTAAATGTGGAAATAAGCAGAGAAATGTCCCCACTAGAACTAATGAGAGTTTTGCTGGGAACTTCAAATTAAAAGATATAAAGGTGGGGAATTAATGTGTCACTGAACTAAGCCATATATCCACAACTCTGACCTTGACTTAACACTGTCTCCATTGGCTATTTGCAGCATAGTCTCATTGGGTAGACAAAAGCCGGTATGTTTTAGGAGTAAGTTCAAACCCTCGAGTTCAGTATCGGAGACCTGGCGGCGGTTTCCACCTCTGAGCAAGCCCGAGCTTCTTATTAACTCACAGAAGTGCTCTGGGAATTCTGCTCTCCTGAGCACTTTCTCACCCACCTCTCCACACTTACTCAGCACTAAAGTGCAGTAGAGAACTGTGGCTTGCAGCCATCCCTAACGGAAGAGGGGATAAGGGGGCCCCCCCCCGGGAAGCGACAGAAAGCACCCAGCACAGGGCGTGGCTCCAAAGGGCATTGCTTTCTTTCGGTTCTGTTACAATAAGCAACTTGGTGCCTTTTGAAGTCGCACCTCTGTGTTTTAGGTGTTGTATACTGGATTTTTTTTCTCCCTCATACATATTTCAGGTGACAAGCAAAGGTGTCTAGCTCAGTTTGATTTTAGAGAAAAATCCCAACATTGAGCCACACCAACCATGAGAACTGGGGCAAAATATGTAAGGCTCCTAGGCCTTTGTTTCTTCATCTACAAAATGGGTTAATACCTACCTCGTGAGTCTATTGTAAAAATTAGGGTTTGTAATACATGTAAGGCACTTAGCTCTCTACCTAGTGTTTATTAAAGACTTGGTAAATTACACTAGTATTAGACAATACTTTTAAATGGTTTTATTACAGCCTTTCTACAATTACAGGGTGATATAGAAAAGATCACCTTTTACATTTTGCATAAATCAACAAGTTTAAAGTTAAATTCATTACACTAAATTAAATCCATATTGAAGAGAGCGCTGCTGAGTTTCACTTCCTTCGTTCACTCGCTCAACAGCTATTGACTTACTGAGGGTTCACTATATGCGGAATACTATTTTTGGCACGGGGACACAGCAGAGAGTAAGCAGATACAACCCCTTCCCTTACAGAGTTTATCATCTAGAAGGGGAGCAGATGACATAAGAATACTCAGCATAAGTGTTAGGTGGTGTTCAGTGCTCGGGGTGGGCGGATCCAAAGCAGCAGTTGTGGGAGGTGCCATAGAGGCAGAAGCGCCACAGGCTGCGGAGGGCACTGCGGGTAAACATCTGCGGAGAGACCATTCCAAGCAGATGAAGCAGCATGGGCAAAGGCCCTGGGGCCTAAACCTGCTGGACGTGTTTACAACACAAGAAGGCCTGTACGGCTAGAGGCGAGAGAGTAAGGCGGGGAGGGGATAAGTCAGCAGAGGATCTTACAGGCCATAAAAACTGCGATGAGGCCTTTTGAGCAGAGTAGCATCATGGGACTTAAATTCCACTCCCCTCACCTCCAACACTGGCTGCTTTAAGAGAGAAATATTCTTTTTGTTAGTGTATGGTTACATTTCAACAGGGCCGCCCTAGCAGCTGTGTTGGGAATAGACTGCAGGGAGACAAGGATAGAAGCAGGAAGGCCAGTTAGGGGCATATTGCAGGAGGAGGCGGGCAGGCGTGAACCAAGGGGATGGAAGGGGATTCTAGATGTTGAAAGTAGAGCCAACAGAGATTGGTACGGGATCAGATGTAGGCAGAGAGAAGTCAAGGTGGGCCCCTACTGTTTTATTCTAAGCAAACTGACATTTCCTGATATAGGAAAGATTGATTGCAGGAGGCATAGGTTTTGTTGAGAAATTCGGATGCTTGGTTTTTGTTTTATTAGCATTCAGAAACCGAGCAGAAATTCAAGGGGAGTAAGCAACTGTACATAGAAGCCTAGGCAAGAGAGGAATTTTGAGCACATCAGCTTTTGATGGTATTTAGAGAACCGCAGGCTGAGCTCTGGGGTCAGAGATGAGAGGAGGCGGCAGCTCTGTCTGAGCTGGGAGTGGGAGGCAGAGAGGGAGCTAGAGTCCTCAGGGCGCAGGAAGGAGAGGACAGAGCTGTGCAGAGAGAGCACACCAGTCCTTCCTTTTCTAGTTGAGGTATTTATTTGGCTTTTCTATTTGCAAAGTAAATAATTTCTTCGGGTGGCTTTTCCAAAACAAATAGTCCTTCCCAAAGGCCTAAGTCTTTGAAGTGGCACCTGAATTTTTGTTGCCATCACCCTGTTCCGGTTTCAGAGATCACCTCGATGTCCCGTTCCAGTCAACAGCCCAAGTGACCACCGTAGCCCAGTTGATTCCTTAACCACAGAACTTTCTGGTAGGAAGACAACTTAGATCTAAAGAATAGGATCACTGTCTTTCTTCTGAAATACTATGAATCATAATCAGTCTGCTCTGCTCAGGAGTGTAAACCAGACCCGAGGTGCAAAAAGCCCAATAAAAAAGCATTAAAGTATCTGAGCCCTTGAACAAAAGACATATATGCATATAGTGATACAAAGTAATTCTTGACAATTACAACTCTCACAATATTTCATTATGGGGCCTTGTCTGTGATTTAGAAGCAAAGATATTTATTTGCTATTAGGATCATAAATAAAAATGAAATGTAGAGCCAAACAGCCATTGGGGAAGAGGAGAAACGGCCTCAGGGAAGGTCTGACGCCAATTTACGTGGAAGATGCCAGCAAACAGGCTTCAGGGGCGGGGCGGGATGGGGGCGGGGAATGTACTTACTGGCATTTGCCCTACAGTCCACGTCAGCTGGGAGCTTAGCCAAGGCATATTTTTAGGGTTGCACTGTGTCGATCAAGGTTGGGTCTTACATGATGCACCTGATCATGTTCCAATGAGGCCAACTCCCAACCAAAATTTTCTTCCCCGTAAATGTTTATCTCTACATTTCCAACACGAGGGGATTCTAAATTCAGTGTTGGACTCCTAACCTTAGTTGAACGCCAGGGGAGCCCCCTGCCCAAAAGCCACGTTCCCCTGCAGTGGGACGCAGAAGACCCCCCCCCCCACCCCCGTCTGCTGGGAACTCTTCTGCACAGCGTCTGTCGATTTGCCCCCGACTCCCGCCCCGCCTGACCCAAGAGGCCTTGGCAGGTGCAGAGCGAAAGGTAAACCTGCCTGCAGCCCACGGGGCGGGCCTCCGGCTGGACACCTGTACTGCCTGCTAGTTAGGCGTTAACCACGGCTGCGGGTTGGTCAGAGAAGCTGGAGAACGTCTCCTCCTGGCCGAGAGCCGCACAGGATGACGACAGCCTCTTCACTGAGCAGAGTCAGTTTGGCAAAAGGAAGGCAACTTGTCTTTCTCACCAGGGCAGGCCCTTGGCCTCTGTCCCAAGGCTGGACCCCCGAGCTCCCAGCCCTCCGACGACCCCAGCACAGCTGGACCCACCCAGATCCCCAGGGCGCCGCCGAGCTGCGTGCGCGTGCGCGATCGCGGGCAGGGCGGGGCCTGGCGCTCACGGTCTCGTCCCTTCTCCTCCTGCTCCTCCCGGGCCGGTCCCGGCGGCGCGGGGCGGAGTGCGCCTGCGCGGAGCCGGCATTCCGGCAGGGCCGCAGCCGCGCGGTGCCGGCGGTTGCCGTGGGGACCGCGGGCCCCTCCCTCCTCCGTCCCCGCCCCACGCCGTTCCCCACGGAGACGCGGCGGAAGACCCCGGCCCTCCCCTCCCGCCGCCCTGGCCGGAGCTGCAGCCGTAACCCGCGAGAGGCGGTGGCGCTCCCAAGATGTCGCAGACGGCCATGTCCGAGACCTACGGTACGCGGCCCGGCGGGCGGGGGCGCGGGGGCGCGGGGGCGCGGGGGCTCGGAGCCCTGCCCGGAGTGCGGGGCCGATCTGCTTTGTCAAGTTTCCTCTTGCTGCTTCTCCGCGCTCGCGCCCGTGGGGTTTTCCTCCCAGAGTCTGGTTTCAGTAGCTCAGGGTGTGGACAGGCAGTTGGAGCCCCAGTTTCATCCGCGGTATTGTCCCCAGCGAGGGGTGTGGAGGACTTTGGGCGACGCCTGTATTTCAGCGTGAGCCTCGGACATTCCCGATTGACCTTCCCGGTTTGGGATGCCTTTCTTTGCACCTGATTACGGGAGTAGTCGGTAGACTCAATCCAGTTCCTCCTCTGGAGACCGCTGGCTCCGTTTCTCTGTTTCGCTCTGGGTTTTTAAGCCCTTTCTAGTTGCATTATGACTATGAATGTGTCTTTAAAAAAAACAAACCATAAACACCTTGGTAGCAGTCCTGTCTTTAATCTTTGCAGCCCCTATGAGCACCCACACCTGGAGTTGCCCAGAAATATTTTGTTGAATAAACAAAAGCCTTCCCAATATATGTGCCGTTGTTTTTTAGTTGTTTTTGTTTTGTCCTGCGTGGTGAAAAACGAGCCACACAGCATATCTTTGCGTGCTATCGGGTGAGGAGATGTTACCAGTCTCTAATCACTTTCAGATATGTGCATTCAGATTGAGACTTTGGAGTTTTACGGTCCCAGGCACAGGCTCCGATTCCAGAGTGTGTTCCGCAAGCCCACCCAGCCTCGTCTCCATTTGTGCTGGCCGCTGCTCTTTCCCTTGGAGGATGTGTGCACGGGCATATGGAGTCCGCGTGCTAGGGGGGCTCTCGCTGCAGGCTCGCCTCTGCGCTCCTAGAGCTTACTGTCTAGTGGGGGAATACAGTGTTAATCCAATTATGACACCGATGAAGGGTTAAAAACGCTGCAGGAGTTCTGGAGGAATGTGGTCCATTGCAGTATGTTACAAAGAAACCTAACGCAGCCTGCGGCCAGGAAGTCATTACCCAGGGAGCACTGCAGAAGAGCACATGCCCAGGCCCAGATGGGGATGGGGTTCCAATAAAGGGAATGTGGCTTAAGCCCCACCACAGCCCTTGGAACAGGGGTGAGGTAGAGGGGACCTTGAGGGCCCGAGAGGGGCGGGGGCACCGTGCATTTGCTCCTTGTTGAGCCATGCCGAAGATGGGTGCACGCCTGGGCACATGGGGGTGAGGGCAGGAGGTCTGTTTCCTAGAAGGCTTTGGAGATCTTCCACAAAGTTGCTGGCTTCCTAAGGACCAGTGTTGTCAAAGATGCAAACATATCCACGTGGTCTGGGTAGTTCTATAGAGAATCACAGTCCGATTTCATAAAGAAAATATGTTCTCCAGCAGTTTTTGGTTATACTTTTGCTCTTTACTCACCCTTTTTTTTTTTTTTTTTTTTTTTTCTTTGACCTGGGTGAGGTTAACAGGGAGCGGTGGAAAGTTTTAATAAGTAAACCTGGGGGGGGGGGGGAGTAAGAAGAAATGACTGGAAGGGTCCAGGAGATAGAGCTTTTATGTTTCATTAGTCTTACATGAAATGGTAACTGTGATAAAATGTAGGATACTTTTGGCATCTCTACTTCTCTCAGAATTCATTGAACTTTTGAGTAGCACAGTAACTGATTAAATTCTGATCATAAGGCTTTGATCATTAGGATTCTTAGTTCATAGTAACTTCCAAATTTTTTTTTTTTTACCAGCTCAGTTTAATCTTTTCCTCTAATACAGGCATTTGAGGAAACTATTAGAAAAGTAGTTTTAGAAAGAGCAAATGTGGCAGCCTAAAATTAAAAATCATCCCAGACCAAGTCCTAAAACTGTCTCGTCTCCTTATCATTGACCATATTTGTACAGCATTGTTGCCCAAAAGCAAAACGATCAGGGGCCCTCCTTCCGGACATTTGCCCCTGTGGTAGCTGATTTAAAAAACAAAAAAGAAGAAGAAGATGTTTGCCTAACCTTTAAACTTGTACTCTAGGGTCATTTCTTTCTCTTCCGGAAAAGAATGCTCTGTATAACCTAACCAGGATATAATAGCAAACAAAGAGCCAGTGCTTACAATGTACTGTTAATGAGGTAAATTTACCTGCTTTTTAGCATATGAAAGCATTATTTCACCTTTCATAGACAGTAGTGTTCAACATTTTGCTGCTTTGCAACCACTAACCACATGAAAACTGTATACTTTATATAATGTTGTAATACAATATTGCAATCTTGAATACATAGGTTTCAGGTTGAAATCTTCAATCTGAATATCCCTAAACTGAAATAGTGTTTCCCAAATATTGTTACATTCACAGCATTCTTAAAGCCCTGGCCAGTTAGCATAGCTTGGGACTGGCAGCCGAACACCAGCCGTCTGAGACTTGGGTGATCACAAATTGACTCTAAAGTCATTTCTGATACCAAGATTTGTGAGACAAACTGGCAAATCAAATAGGTAATACCAAGCAGTGATGTTTAGAAAGGAGCTAAAAAGTTTAAGTAGTACAGAACATGTTACAAAATTTTAAGAGCTGAGGCAGTTTGAGAGAGAGGAAAACTCTAAGATAAATCTCTCTGTATACAGGGTCTGGCAGAAGTAACCACTGAGTGTGGTTGGTAGGGTACATGCATGTATCGCACGAGAAGGGTAGCAGTTTGAACATTTCGCCTAAAATGTCAGAGGTAAATATGCACATTTGTAATATTATACACATTTGTTTTTCTTTATTAGTTATTAAATGTTATATACACTTATCAGGGACATGATTTGTGCCAGACCCTGTATATTTGAGTTTATGCCTTCTACAATGAAAATACTTTATGAAACAAGAACACAACAATTAGCATAACAATAATTATGCTAATTATTACAATATACTCTTAATATTTTTATTTTGAAAATATTATAGTACTTACCGTATAATTTTGAGAATTATCAGGATATATACACACTATATATCCTATATCACATATACACACACACATACATACATACATGATGATAGGGTCTCTGCAGATGTGATCAAGTTATGACGAGGTCATGTTGGGTGAGGGTGGGCCCCAATTCAGTGACTAGTACTCCTATAAAATGAGAAGAATTTGGTCACAGACACATGCATGGGGAATGCAATACGAAGACAGAACCTGAGACTGGAGTGATTTACCCACGAGCCAGGCATCGCCAAAGGATGGCCGGCAACCCCTAGAAGCTAATAAGAGGCAGGGGAGGACCCTTCCCTAGAGTCTTCAGCGAGAACACAGCCCTGCCAACACCTTGACTTTGGACTTCTAGCCTCTAGAACTGTGAGACAATAAATTTCTCTTTTAAGCCATCTTCCATTTTTCCCATGCACTCATGCACCTAAGAGAGAAACTTAGAACCCTTTTCTTTCCCTCTCTTCCTCTCCTGGAGGATGGTCCCGTCACCTGCCCCGTCAGCCAGCCGGGCGTCCGAGCGTCATCCACACGCCCTCTCCCTTCACAGCCCTATCCGGAGGCAGCCGGGTCCTGTGGGTGCTTCCTCCTAAGCAGCTGTCATGCCTGCTGGCCCTCCCCTGCCCACTGCCTGGCCTTGCTGCCCCCCGGCCCCGCTCTAGGGTTTCTGCCCCACACTCCCTGCCTGCCCGCAGGCCCACGCTTCCCCATCCACCTCCCGCATGGCCACCAAAGCGAGAATCCATTTTTTATCCATCATCCTCCTAAGCTCCTGAGTCCACTCGGTTTCTGAGTCTTTCAAACAGACCTCTTCACAGAGTTCGAGTTACCGTCTACCCCAGAAGAAGGGAAGGGTAAGTCGAGGCCAGCGTAGAGGGTTATAAAGCAGGAGACCCAGCACCCCAGAGCTCACCACGGCAGCCCGAGCTCGCCGCCCAGCGCCCGCACAGCGACTGTCGAGCAGTCCCCACAGCTCAGAGAAGGTGCGGGGCAGTGCCCTGGGCGAGGACCACGGTGAGCTGGAAGGGGACCTGCTAAAATGTGTGCTAGGGCCCAGGCTTCTGGTGGCTTGTGCCACCGCTTCACAGAGAAATCATGCTGAGTTAGTGGGGTTTCCAGAGCCTTTCGAGCTCCTTGAGAAACAATTGCATGTATGCACAAGTGTGAACTTCCGTCACAATGGTAATCTCTGCTACTGATCACATGACCAACAGCCCTTTAGGAACACCGCGCCGCTGGGGCCCCTTTCTGCGGAGTCAGCCGGAACCGAACTCGCTGGGAAGGCTCAGTGCTCCGATCATCCCTCTGGCCCTGTAAGCACCAAGCACGTGTGCTGCTGATCTTGGCTTTGGCTGTTTCTTTGGGATGAGAAGGAAGCTGATACTGTTTCTTGACTTGCTTCTCTTAAATCATCATACCGAGAGACTGACATTATGGATTTTTCCCCCCATTCCTAGTAACTCCATTAGAATACTTACCGGTAGCAAGAGCTTGAGGGAAAAACCTCGGAATCCTCCGCAGCCAGTAGCATTTTTGTCTTTGAATGTCACTGCTTCCCCTGGCCGTCTGGCCTTGGTAATGGACTGTTCCTTGTGCTCAAAGGACACCTGCCTTTTGCTCCTCTGTAGCCCTGACGGCGGATTAAAGCTAAAGCGATGTGCAGGGTAGTGTTGCTGAAGGGACGGATGAAGTCGCACCAGGGTGAGCGATAGCAGGCCACAGCGCCACACGCGAGTCAGGGGAACGCTGTCTGCACGTTTTCTTCCTTTGTAATTCCCCTCAAAGCTGTGCGAACAAAAATAAGTTTATGTGGAGAGAGATTTGGCCACTACAAATAAGTCCCTGACGGGGGTGGATAGGACACCTAGAGAGAGAAAGCCAGGTGCAGTCGTGCGCTACTCAGAACGGCGAACTCGTGCATGGCAGTCCTTAGTGATCTTTGTCTTTTCATTCTTTCCACTTCTCTTCTGTGCCGCGTTTTTGGCCTTTAAGAAATCTTAAAAAGCAGCTACAAAATTTAGATATGGGAG